GCTGGTTTGGTATGCTCTATCCGTTCGCCAGCGATTCTACACTCAGTGATTCCGATCCCTGGCTCGCGCCCTAACTGGCGGAAATGCAATGTTGATAGCATGATACAGTATCAGCTAGCAGTGGATAACATGTTACAGCCGTATACTGACTTTGTCATCAGTGTGCCGTCATATATTGATACATTCAATGGTATTATCACGGACACTTTGATCTCCTGTGCGCAATATTATATTCCCTTATCGAGTTTCAATCCACGATTAAAACCGTGCTGGAACAGGGATGTTAAAGCTGCTCACAAGTTTGCACGTGAACGTCGGAAAGAATGGATAGAAAATGGAAAACCGCGTGGCTTCATGCATCCTGCCTTTCGACAATACAAGACTGCAAAACGCGAGTTCAAAAATGCTCAGCGCGGTGCTTATGAAGCATACCTACGTTCCCAACTGCAAAATTTAAATGATGCAGCAGACTGTGACAATAAAACCTTTTGGCAAGCTCTGAAGCAGTTCAAAGGTCACTCACCTAGTACCTGTTCGCCATTGAAAGTTGGCAGTGAAACTTTAAGATCTCCCGTCGACGTCGCAGAAGCATTTGGTAATTACTTTCGGAATATATATCAAGTAAATGCCGGTTGTGCGGACCCAGTTAACCTTGAGATGTCTGATTTTCCAACTAATTGTCTTGACTCTGATATTCTGAATATGACGCTGATTTTCTCTGAAATTGAGCGAGCTATTAGAAGTTTGAAGTTTACGGAAAGCACCAGGTGTAGATGGTATCCAAAATGAACATTTACGATACGGAGGCCGTACGCTTATCTTATGTATACAGAAACTCTTCACCAGATGTATTGAGCTGGAACATGTGCCTGTAAGTTGGAAAAGAGGAATAATTCATCCTATTTCAAAGGTGGTCAAAAGTCACGTGGTGACCATTCTAGTTACAGACCAATCACCCTTTTATGTTGTATGTATAAGCTGTTTGAAAAGGTCATCAGTACTCGTTTACAGGATTGCCTTGACACTACTGTTCGACCCTTTCCAAACGCACAACAGAACGGCTTTCGTAAATGCTTAGGATGCACGACGGCAACGTTTTCATTACAGGAGACAATATACCACAATATCGAATTAAATAGTGAAGTCTTCTTGGCCTTTCTGGACATAAAAAAGGCTTTTGACACCGTCTGGCAATCAGGTCTCATGCGTAAACTCTTCCATCTCGGAGTCAAAGGTCACCTCTTCAACACAATCCGCGATTCTTATAATGACATGACAAGTGCCGTGATGTGGCTTGGGATGACGTCACAATGATTTCCTGTTTGATCGGGGGTAAGGCAAGGAGGGGTCCTGTCTACGTTTTTATATCAAACGTTCATCGACAATCTGCTCTTTCTCTTAGAAAATAGTAATCACGGCGCAAAGGTGGAGATCTTAAATACCGGAAACCCAACCTTAGCAGACGATATAGCTCTTATAAGTACCTCCTCACTCTCACTTCAAAGACCCCTGCACATCTGCCACAGATACAAAGTAAAATGGAAATTTGAATTTAATAACTCTAAATGTAAAATTGTTGTGGTTGGGAAGTATATACCTAGTCAGCCAGGCCACACCTGGATGCTTGGTCTCGACCACATTGGTATCGCCCTTTCTCAAACTCACCTCGGTACAGTAGTATCCTCTCGGATGTCGAACGTTGAACGCGTGCAAGCTGCATTCTATTATTGGGATTGACCCATCGTCCAGTTTAATTAGTGCTCCTGTCAAGGCCAGCCTCTACAAGAAAGTAGTTTTACCTTCTGTGTTATATTGGTGTGAACATTGGGGTCGTCTTGGCTCAAAAAGAACTTACTTTATCAAGTCGTTTCCAGCATTACGGAGCTAAACTCATGCTCAGAGTCCCTCGACGCGCTCGTTCAGATATTGTCAAACCTATGCTAGGGTTATTTCTCAATTCTGCGGAAATCGACAAGAGAAAATTACTTCATCTGCAAAAACTTATATCATTGGATCAATCCTTCCTAGCAATGCGTATTTTTACCGTTCGCTTATATTCCTTTTTGAAAGCGCGTTCTGGCAACTGTGATAACTACTGCTCCAAAGGGTACTTCCCGGATATCGTAAATGTGCTACAAAGATATAACTTGGAACCTTTAAATCTGCCATAAATTGTGCTGAAAATTCGTATCTTCGAAACTTTCACGTGTCATTCCCCTCCAAGATACAATGGAAAGCAGCTGTTAAATCTGCCATAAATTGTGCTGAAAATTCGTCTCTAAAAGCTCGAATGTCCAGAGACCACGACATCAGGCCTCCAGCTGCTTGATGCTGCTGCCCAGAAACTTTTCCTGATGAAAGGCGCAAGATTCGTTGTAAGTGCTACGTGCTCCTTAACTTAATGATTCTTATTTTTTACGTTTCCACGCGATATTGAGGATTTACATTGGTAAATCCTCTACTTCCTCGCGTTAATTGAGCTGTTTTTGTTTATATATACATTTATATATCCTTTTCCCTGTCGATTTCTTGTATTACCAATATCTCCTTTGGGAGGAAATAAAGTTTGATGATGACCATATAACACCACATCTACATCATTTAATACAGTGACATAAATCAGTATTCAAATATATAGTGCAATAGTCAAATTAAATCAAAGTTTCTAGAATGCAATATAACTGTATTTTATACAAGTGAAAGGATATAAGTAATTTCTATGTTTATATTTTGTCTGCGTGGTGACTATAGTTTTGCACACATGTATGTTGGACTGTTTACAGGGGAAAAAACTTTTAATCGTCCTTATTCCGTTCCCACCTACACTTTTTTTTTTTTTTTTTTTTTTTTTTTTTTCTTTTTTAAAGTAGTGTAAAATGAATATGTCGTATTCACTACCAATGTTCTTGACAAAAGATCGCAACCTTAGGGAAATATGTTCTGTGTTGTGTAATCATCAGGAATGTGTGGCCTTGTATAGTTGTAAGGTTAACGCTTGACATGATAACAACTTATCGTTTCTCGCTAGAATTTCCGTTATCAATAGATACACATTTCACACGCTAACAGAAGCTGATAAAAATGACGAGCGATAACAATGACTTTTTAAACAATGCTCTATATTATAACGATATAAAAGGTCGACGTCTCAAACTCAGTATTCTACGCTGTGATCGAAACTCAGACCTGTTATTTGCTCGTTATAACTTTCAACGGTTTTCTTGTATTATATCATCGATCGATTAGGAAGTAAGTGGGGATATAGCTCAGTGGTAGAGCATTCGACTGCAGATCGAGAGGTCCCTGGTTCGAACCCGGGTGTCCCCTAATGTTTTAATTTTAGATCTTCTTTTAAACAATTATATGCGTATTTCTGTTTTATAACATGTTGTGATGTAATTTCTACCATTCTGTGTGTAATTCTATCTATGAATTCATTTTTTATACCAAACTCACTACATCCATATCATAATTCGATATCAAAATAACACTATTGCTACATATCTAGTATAAATAAAGACCTACATAATTCTATGGAAACAAAATGTTTTAGCTGTATATATTTTTGTTTGTGTTTATATAATTTTGTATGAGTCTATATAGTTTAGTATAAGTCTATATAGTTTAGTGTAATTCTATATAGTTAAGTGTAAGTCTATATAGTTTAGTGTAAGTCTACATAGTTTAGTGTAAGTTTCTATAGTTTAGTGTGAGTCTATATAGTTTAGTGTAAGTCTATATAGTTTAGTGTTTGTCTATGTAGTTTAGTGTAAGTCTATATAGTTTAGTGTTTGTCTATGTAGTTTAGTGTTTGTCTATGTAGTTTAGTGTAAGTCTATATAGTTTAGTGTAAGTTTCTATAGTTTAGTGTAAGCCTATATAGTTAAGTGTAAGTCTATATAGTTTAGTGTTTGTCTATGTAGTTTTGTGTAAGTCTATATAGTTTAGTGTAAGTCTATATAGTTTAGTGTTAGTCTATATAGTTTAGTGTAAGTCTATATAGTTTAGTGTAAGTCTATATAGTTTAGTGTTTGTCTATGTAGTTTTGTGTAAGTCTACACAGTTTAGTGTAAGTCTATATAGTTTAGTGTAAATCTATATAGTTTAGTGTAAGTCTGTATAGTTTAGTGTAAGTCTTTATAGTTTAGTGTAACTCTATCTATATAGTTTAGTGTAAGTCTGTATAGTTTAGTGTAAGTCTATATAGTTCAGTGTAAGTCTATATAGTTCAATGTAAGTCTATATAGTTTAGAGTAAGTCTACATAGTTTAATGAGTCTACATAGTTTTGTGTAAGTCTGTATAGTTTAGTGTAAGTCTATAGTGTAAGTCTGTATAGTTTAGTGTAAGTCTGTATAGTTATTGTAAATCTGTATAGTTTAGTTTAAGTCTATATAGTTCAGTGTAATTCTATATAGTCTAGTGTAAGTCTGTATAGTTTAGTGTAAGTCTATATAGTTTAGTGTAAGTCTGTATAGTTTAGTGTAAGTATATATAGTTTAGTGTAAGTCTACATAGTTTAGTGTAAGTCTACATAGTTTAGTGTAAGTCTATATAGTTTAGTGTAAGTCTATATAGTTTAGTGTAAGTCTACATAGTTTAGTGTAAGTCTATATAGTTTAGTGTAAGTCTTTATAGTTTAGTGTAACTCTATCTACATAGTTTAGTGTAAGTCTACATAGTTTAGTGTAAGTCTATATAGTTTAGTGTTTAAGTCTATATAGTTTAGTGTAATCTGTATAGTTTAGTGTTAGTCTATATAGTTTAGTGTAAGTCTATATAGTTTAGTGTTTGTCTATGTAGTTTTGTGTAAGTCTACACAGTTTAGTGTAAGTCTACACAGTTTAGTGTGAGTCTACATAGTTTAGTGTAAGTCTATATAGTTTACTGTAAGTCTATATAGTTTAGTGTAAGTCTACATAGTTTAATGTTAGTTTATATAGTTTAGTTTAGTGTAAGTATGTATACTTAAGTGTAAGTCTGAGGATTATATTTACTTACCATCTTTGACATCGATAGTCACCGCCACAATTTCATTGTCACTATGATCAACATCTTTTAAAAACTGGTACTGTTGGAAATGTTCCTGAGAAACTCCTATATTTCCGTGAGATGAAAGTGACGCCTTATCTAGACAAGAAAACATCAAATAATCGCTTTGATCCGAAACTAAACAATCCAATTAACATAAAATTTTCAAACATTGAAATCTAAGCGATTGTCCAGCATATATTTTCGTTGGATAAAGACGCAGAGAAATGTGACTTGGGATACAGAATTTTCCAAGCAATTACCACAATCTTGAACATTCTTCATTCAATAGTGATATTTAACTTGAGATGAACACTTGCTATAAGTTAAAAGTACAACGATATTAACAGAAAATATCGACATGTCACATGATTCCTAATTCAATTGAGATTGAGGAGAAAAGTTATTCAGGGCCATCAACATCAAGCCAATAGACAAACTAACGACCAATGAAGACGTCGGTCTTTTATACCATATAAGGAAACATATGTTCCAAATGCACCGCTATATAATGGTTGTATCTACAGACGTAATCAACACTCGTAATTTAACAGCAATTTTCTATTGTACAAAGATGTTTCCAGTACGTACCAGGCACACCTTGCCACTGGTGCCAGAAGTCGCCATGGGTTTCCTCTCGGTCACAGCTTTTGTTGATATAGTCGATAGTGTAAACTGAGGCCTAGACAAAGAGCATTAACTTTATTGTCGATATAGATACAATAAGTCCCTATAGGACAGTGTCAGACGTTTGTAAACTGACAGGATATATTTCTGTAACAATTCTAACATATGAATCCCAAGTATTTAGAATCGAGAATAACATCCTTTCATACCGCATCCCTTACTTTGATGTTTACTCTCTAATACCACACATATGGTTAAAAAGATGACGCTAAATATGAAAACAAAACATACAAAAAGTTTCAAGGACAAACTTAATGTACAAGGAGAAAACATAATGAAGACCAAATGTTCCTAAAGAGTAAAAATAATTTTCTACAGTTTTGGTGACAATTCCTCGTCTATAGAATTTGTCAAGTATTCGTAGTGAAAATGAAATTGTAGAAGAACCAGATTAAGCATGTCAGAAATAACCCAGGATAAATGATGGTACATTACCCAAAGCGATCCTGATCGCACCATTACTAATGTAATTATAGAATATATTTCAGGGTTTTTTTATCTGATAAATATGCTCAATTTGTTTTTATGAAAACTGACTCAAAATTATATACAATGTTTGCCACCATGTCCTTACTTCGTTGAACTTCCACAGGTAAGTGTAATCATAGGACTGATTGTAAGCCAGATCTATACCCTTCAGGTCCAGTCTCGTCTGGTTGTTGGTGTAGTCGTAGTAGTAAATCCCGGACGCACGTGCTTGGGTAGGTACAGTGAACATCAGTCCAAAATCGAAGAAAACAGAACTTTGCCATTGAGCTGGAAACTTACATAGCAGTTTACTAGAGGTAGAAAAAGTTCCAAAACATAAGAACAGTACTATCAGTTTAACGAACTCCATGTTGTTACTTCTAACACACACGTTATCTAAGTGGATACCCTAATCTCATCAAAGTTCAGATAAGGTGAACCAGTTACACACTCCCGTGGTCAGCATCTGTCGTCACAATCCTGTTTAAAGCATATTGTATAACTACAAATATTCAGTGACTACAAATTATTTCTAACTTTGCTCAAATCCTCCGCAGATTCCAACCCAGGGTAATTGGTATGCAAATCGCATTAAAGATTGTCAAAATCCGTGTGAAAACTGTCAACTCTGGCACGCTGCAGATCCCTCTGTGGCTTTTCGAGGGAAAAAAAGTAGGCGTTATAACGCCGCTCCAGGGGTTTAGGGATAGTGTTAGGCTATACAATTATCTTAAGGCATTTGACGAACTTCAAAATTACCCTAACCCAAATCTATTTAGGCCCTAAAGTCTACTTTTCCCCTGGGGTTAGGACAAGGCATCAGTAGGCTCTGAAGCCGTCTTCTAAAACTAGCATACTAGCTACAGACGGTTCCACCCCTATAAGGGGGATACATGTCGCTCCCTCATGACGCCAGAACACAGACGTCCGTCGGTGATAAGACGTTACCCGGACACAAGAAGAGTCACGGAGACGAAAAACCTATCAAACAACCAACCAACTGTCAAAATCTATATACTTATTTCTCCACCAGGGGTCATACTAGACTATTTTAAATCAGCCACTTATCTCGATCTTTTTCTACAACAAACATGGTCAGTTTTCCACTAAGCTGTATGGTAAGCGTGGTGATTTCAATTTCCCTATTTTGAATTATCCATTTCTGGATAGCAATAATTCTCCATTCTCAGCCTATGGTGTTTACATTTAGATTGCCTTCTAATCAAAAGGAGATGGACATTCTCCGTTTACATTCGATTCTTTAACTTCACAAGAATCCATATAAACAACGTTCTGTTGCTGACTCGTCTATCTACTCAACCAAACCTTTGTCAAAACTACTAACTACCATTTTTAACACTAGTAAATCTGGGTTACAGTCTTATTGTAATACTGTTTATTCAAGAAGTAGATCAATAGTATGATGATTTTAAAGATTTCCAAAGGGCTTCTTGAACACATTCTTCTCGAAAACATTTCTTCGATAAGAGCATTTGAGTTTTCCACCCTGTACACCACCATACCGCATTCTAAATGAAGGAACGCCTTTGTACTCTTGTTATGAAAGTTTTCTTCTCCAAGAAAGGTAAACAGCGATATAAATGTAAGGTTAAGAACTATACTGAAGCATTGTTCCTGAAATATACGTCCAAATTAAAGAAGAAATACATGCAGGACTAAATCAACCAAACAAACTATTGGCTTACCTATGGGAACTCTCTGTTGACTGACTTGCTTTTGTTTTCATACGAGGCTGAATTTATTTTATTTATTTATAAGAGCTTATCAAAGCATGTCACAAAGACTTTACAGAGTCTTTCAATTTCATTTTCAGATATATTGATGACGTCTTGTCTTGAAATGACAAGATATTTATTGACCACGTCCATTGTATATACCTAACAGAATTGATAATCAAATATAGGACAGACTCTTCTACATCAGCCGCATATCTCAATCTTTTCTTACATCGGTCGTCATAGCGATCTCATTCAGAAATGTTTTATTTCGTTGTGTGATATGAAGCTGGACGTGTTTGATGCTCGTTAATTTGCCGGCTGGTTCCGTTTTTGTATACTTGGTTCTCAATGTGACATTATTTACTTGGATTGACCAAGATTTACATGACTGGTGTCGTAGATGAAGCTGAAGACGCTTACTCTTCAGGAACACATAGTCTTATTCGCTGGAGTCGCTGTGTAAATCTTTCTTGTGTTCATATTTAGCCCTATATATTTATTGCATTTGAGTTTGGATTATGATGATGTTGACATGTTGGTGTTTTGTTGTTGATTTCTATTATACATGAGGTTGACCAAATGAAAACCTCAGAATGGAATTGATAGAACTACCTATTGATATCTCACTTTGTGGCAATGGTCTCCGACAGAGTGTTGAGACTTTTTTCTGTGTCCTCTTCTTAGATTTGCTACCCTCAATGTAAATTCTGAGAGCTTTGGTTTTTATTTTCGACCTTTTGTGCTTCTGGTGTTAAATGTTGCGAAGAAATTAATTTCATGAAACAAAACGTTTCTAATGAGTATCAAACAGGCCAATATAAAACGTGACAAATCTGCAACAAAATGTTCGGCGGTGACAGCCAGAGTGTCCTGAGACACATTGTATAAGTCAGAAAATATATGTGCAGTTGTATATATATCGTTTAAACACGACTATACCGCTGTGGCCTAATCCACGTCATGTGTGTGTTCTATTATCTAACTACAACACATTATCAAATCCGGCAGTGATGGCGGTGAAAATCAGCCTGCTCGTTACAGGGATTCTTGTTGTTGTAATTGGGAGTTTGGCGGAACATAAAGATACACAATGTAAGTTCCCTCCACAATGGCAAAGCACTGTGTTTTTAGACTACGGAATGTTGATCTACGGTGTAGCAGGACATGCACGCGCATCCGGAACTTTTTATTACGATTATCCGAACAGACGCATGAGGATAGATCTCAAAGGTACGGAACAAGCTCCAGACAAGCAAAACCTCACGGTGTCTTTCATGCGGCATTTTAATGAGGTTAGTGGATATAAGTTAATAAAAACATTCATGTGTTCAGTTATGTTACCAACGGCAAGAACAAAAAGACAATACGACTATGATAACGGACTCCAAGTCGACAAATCGAGGACAAAACATTAAAGATGTATACACAGGGTCTGATACTGTGTAACGATAAGATCAAGTCTTCCGGAAGGATTGACGTTTTCGGCTTCACTGACGATAAAGCCTTGGTCAATCAAAGTAGTTAATGTCACGTTCCCAAATGAGGACAAGGTTAAAAACACGGAAATCATCAGTCATACTAACGATCATCGAATACATACTTAATGTAGCCCTATCAAAACATATATATGTATAGATATTCGTTGATATCTTTTGAAGATAACTGTAGAAACACACAAAAGTTACAATTTTCAGTGAATCACTTGTTGAGAAATATTCTTTCTGTGATTGATTGTTTCTATAGAAACACACATTTTCTTGAATCTATACGATTAGAAGCGACTAGGATAATGACAGACCTCCGTTCTGAGACACCACAAACTATACAATTAATTAGGCTGGATAACACTGTATATAACAAAACAGAAATATGATGGACAAGATTACGTAGGGACATACACCTGAATACTTACATTTTAAGTGCCTACAAGATCGTAAGTAAATAAATGTGAACATTATGTTTCGAAAACAGTACATGTGTTGATAAAATACTTAAATATAAACAAAAGAGGAATTAAAATAGAAAGTAATACAAAAGAGTAAATTAAATGTTACCCATGAAGTATCCTTTTTAATTTAAAATTCGAAGTTTATATCGATGATATCGATCGTCTTGTCACTAACAAAGGACATAGACTTGGAAAAGTACTTCATCAGAACAGAACTACCTTAGCAGTCTAATGAGACTGGTGCTTTCCAGTTATCAACGTGTTAGACATGGCAATCCAAATTTAAGAGAATGAATGTTTTCTGACGATTTCACCTACGGTAAGACTTTTTAGATGTTCGCTGCTGAAGACAAGAGAAAATAAAAATATGTTAACACAGTTTTAATCTTAACTTTCGCAAAATGTCAAATTAAAGAGAAAAAAAAGAGAAAAAAACGAAACAAAAGAAAACAAACAAAAAATTCTCCCTGAGACACATGGAATGTTCAAGAAAAATAAGGCCATTTTTCCGGGATAGTAAAGTGTCTATCGCTCAAAAGACTACATCTGTTCTCTAAATTTTGGTCAACCCAAATAAGTCATGTTCCCAAATGAGAACACGGTTGACACAAACGGAAACACTAGACATACTAGAATCTTCCCCATTGAGTAAATCTGTGATTTTCATCATATTTCCCAGAGTAGGTTATGTCTTTACATGCGCGAAATGGATGCGTTAATATGTCGTGTTGGTTGCTTTGTCTTTCCTGGTTGTCAGTTTGAAAACGTTTCAAAAAGTTAAATTCAATGGCACAATGGGTATGCTAAATTGGTCAACAAATAAAATTAAATAAGCCAAAATACTGAACCACAAACAATAATAGTATAATAAACAGACACAAATTTGTCGTAATATATTACATAAAGTTTGTTCCATGTCAGGAAGACACTGTTTTATCATTACTTAAACAATACCATTCTGTTTAATGTTTGACAGCAAGCATCCTACTACATCGATTATGACGCAAAATTCTGTGAGATAACCTACGGCATAGATCCAGTTTGGAATCAGTGGAAGGCGTGCCTGGTAAGTATATAGGACATCGGTGGGAAGGCGTGCCTGGTAAGTATATAGGATATCGATAGGAAGGCGTGCCTGGTAAGTATATAGGACATCAGTGGGAAGGCGTGTCTGGTAAGTATATAGGACATCAGTGGGAATGTGTACACGGTAAGTATATAGGACATCAGTGGGAAGGCGTGCCTGGTAAGTATATAGGACATCAGTGGGAAGGCGTGCCTGGTAAGTATATAGGACATCAGTGGGAAGGCTTGCCTGGTAAGTATATAGGACATCAGTGGGAAGGTTGTAAGTATATAGAACATCAGTGGGAAGGTTGACACGGTGAGTATATAGGACATTAGTGGGAAGGCTTGCCTGGTAAGTATATAGGACATCAGTGGGAAGGTGGTAAGTATATAGGACATCAGTGGGAAGGTGTACATGGTAAGTATTTAGGACATCAGTGGGAAGGCGTGCCTGATAAGTATTTAGGACATCAGTGGGAAGGTGGTAAGTATATAGGACATCAGTGGGAAGGTTGACACGGTAAGCATATAGGACATTAGTGGGAAGGCGTACCTGGTAAGTATATAGGACATCAGTGGGAAGGTGTACACGGTAAGTATATAGGACATCAGTGGGAAGGTTTAACGGGTATTGTGAGTATATATTTGACCAGAGGTAGGGCCACACAAACTAGATGTAGATATTCTTGTATCTAAATAGTAGAAAGTTCTCAAAAAAATATAAACTATAAAATGTTACATCGTTAAGCAACAGATCGGTGCATTGTATGATTAATTCACTACTTCGAAGACCTGTATCGTAAAATACTAATTATGTCAATAAATCAGATCGGTCAATTACTGATAAATCAACAAGTATATACCATATCAACATGCTGTAAACTACACAAACTTACTCTCTATATTAGAGATGTGATACCAACTGTAAATTTAGAAACAACAATTTCAGTGATATTTGATACAATGTATATTGATATAGTGTGTGTAGATATATATACTATATAGTGTATTCTGACACAATATATATTAATGCAGTTTTTTACATTAGATATTGATATATAGTTAGAGTATATACTGGTACAATTGGTATTGATACAGCGAGTTCTTTAAAATATCTTTTCACCATATCACAGTATAAAATGGACTGTCATAAGGCTTTGATATGATTTTATGTTACAGCTTCGTCAGTTGCCTACACTTTTGGAGATCTGGGTGGCTTTACATCTTGGTAATAAATGATGGCCCTACCTACCCAGGTGTTCGTGTTGTCATGGATGTCAGCATAGGTATATGTTATTTCATGCCTTTTAAAACGTATTGATCTATTTTTATGCGAGATAAATGAATATGTGTGCAAATCCATTTTGTACCTTTTTAAAAACTCTCGCTATGTGTGAAACTTTCAGTAAATACTACTCTTATAAATCTCCAAATGAATGTTTTCGATGCGTGTGTGTAGTTTATTTATTTATATAGTTTATACTTATATAATTTGGTAATTTCATCATTGTTAATGCTAAATGACCTTAAATAATGCAAAACAATGAAGTCCTGTCCTCGGTGTTGTAGAAGAAGTGTGCCCTCCCTTCCGTGTCATGTTCCAGAACCTTCCGGACGACCCGGAAGTCATGTATCAGTATGAATTCGTGGATCACACAGACCTAAAAAAATCCTGACGTGTTTAAAACCCCTGACAACTGTACTAACTCTATGTTAACGGTGAGTGTAAAATCCTGATGTATTTAAAACTCCTGACAACTGTACAAACTCTACGTTAACGGTGAGTGTAAAATCCTGACGTGTTTAAAACTCCTGACAACTGTACTAACTCTATGTTAACGGTGAGTGTAAAATCCTGATGTATTTAAAACTCCTGACAACTGTACAAACTCTATGTTAACGGTGAGTGTAAAATCCTGATGTATTTAAAACTCCTGACAACTGTACAAACTCTATGTTAACGGTGAGTGTAAAATCCTGACCTGTTTAAAACTCCTGACAACTGTACAAACTCTATGTTAACGGTGAGTGTAAAATCCTGATGTATTTAAAACTCCTGACAACTGTACTAACTCTATGTTAACGGTGAGTGTAAAATCCTGACTTGTTTAAAACTCCTGACAACTGTACAAACTCTATGTTAACGGTGAGTGTAAAATCCTGATGTATTTAAAACTCCTGACAACTGTACTAACTCTATGTTAACGGTGAGTGTAAAATCCTGATGTATTTAAAACTCCTGACAACTGTACAAACTCTATGTTAACGGTGAGTGTAAAATCCTGACTTGTTTAAAACTCCTGACAACTGTACAAACTCTATGTTAACGGTTGTAAAATCCTTGTATTTAAAACTCCTGACAACTGTACAAACTCTACGTTAACGGTGAGTGTAAAATCCTGACCTGTTTAAAACTCCTGACAACTGTACAAACTCTACGTTAACGGTGAGTGTAAAATCCTGACGTGTTTAAAACTCCTGACAACTGTACTAACTCTATGTTAACGGTGAGTGTAAAATCCTGACTTGTTTAAAACTCCTGACAACTGTGTACTAACTGTTCATGTTAACGGTGAGTGTAAAATCCTGATGTATTTAAAAGTTCTGACAACTGTACAAAGCTCTATGTTAACGGTGAGTGTAAAATCTGACTTGTTTAAAACTCCTGACAACTGTACAAACTCTATGTTAACGGTGAGTGTATTTAGGCATTGTTCAAAACTCTGACAACTGTACAAACTCTATGTTAACGGTGAGTGTAAAATCCTGATGTATTTAAAACCCTTGACAACTGTAATAACTCTACGTTAACGGTGAGTGTTTCGATCTCTAATAACGTCCCACATTTTGACATTTAGCTGTCTGTTTCATTGATTTTACATTTTACTATTGTTTATTTATTTTCCAGATGAGAAAATTATCATCGCTCAAACCTCTTGGATTCTTCATGATTTAATGTTAGTGAGCAACAAGATTAAACATTCAATTAAAGTTCCTCTACAAAACTAAAATACTATGGTTATTTCATAATTTTGTTTAAACGCGCCCATTTGATAATAATCATGGTATTGAAGCCGGAACACTGACTAAGATCGACATTAAAGAAACAGGGTTATGCTGTCCACTTTAAGCAACCTATATTTTTCAACAACACTGCAAAGAGACTTTATATAGTGGAATTATTGGTGTATAAATGTTCATTTCTTTTGAGTTATAATCCCTTCGTAAATAGTTCTGGAGCACTGCTTCACCAAAGCATTATGTCCCATTGGTAGGAGTACATTGCTTCATCAACACTTGGGACATTGTCCCATTGGGAACGTGCACCGCTTCATTTAGGCATTGTTCACCTGAGATACTGTCCCATTGAAAAGGAGCACTGCTTCATTAAGGCATTATGTCCAATTGGTAAGAGTATATTGCCTCAACAACACGTGTGAAACTGTTTCATTGGGAAGACGCATTGCTTTTTAAGGCATTGTACACCTGGACATTGTCCCACTGGGAACGTGTACTGCTTAATTAAAGCCTTGTTCACCTTGGACACTATCACATTTGGGGCGACTCGCTTTATTAACAACTGAGATACTGTCCAATTGGAAAGGAGCACTACTTTATTAAAGCATTGTTCACCTGGGGCACTATCACATCGGGGGGGGGGGACTCCTGGGGCACTATCACATCGGGGGGGGGGGGGGTGACTCGCTTTATGAACACTTGGACACTGCTCTCCATTGGGAAGGAGCATTGCATCTTAAGACATGGTACATCTTGATCACTGTCCCATTTGGAGGAACACTGTCCCATTAAGGCATTGTACACCTGAGACACTGTCCTATTAGAAAGGATCACTGTCTCATTAAGGCATTGTACACCTGGGACACTGTCCCATTTGGAGGATCACTGTCCCATTAAGGCATTGTACACCTGGGACACTGTCCCATTTGGAGGATCACTGTCCAATTAAGGCATTGTACACCTGGAACACTGTCCCATTTGGAGGAACACTGTCCCGTTAAAGCATTGTGTACCTGGGAAACTGTCCCATTGGCAGGAGTGCTACTTCATTCAAGCATTGTTCACCTGTGTAAGTATCCCAATGGGAAGGAGTATTGGTTCATCAAGGCATTGTACACCTGGGACACTGTCCCATTAGAAAGGATCACTGCCTTATTAAGCACTGTACACATGGAACACTGTTCCATTAGAAAGGATCACTGCCTTATTAAGCATTGTACACCTGGGACACTGTCCCATTGGGAAGGAACTTACTAAAATATCACGGCATTTTAACATTGACACATCCCATAGGGATACTAGCAACTTACTACAAATATCACGGCAACTTTTAACATTGAACATAATAGTCCTAACAACTTACTACAAATATCACGGAACCTTTTAATATTGAACATGATAGTCCTAACAACTTACTGCAAATATCACGGAACCTTTTAACATTGAACATGGTAGTCCTAACAACTTACTACAAACATCACAGAACCTTTTAACATTGAACATAATAGTCCTAGCAACTTACTACAAATATCACGGCAACTTTTAACATTGAACATAATAGTCCTAGCAACTTACTACAAATATCACGGCAACTTTTAACATTGAGCATGATAGCCCTATGAACTTGTTCAGTACGGTGCGCCATTATTCTAGTATCTATGACGACATAAAAATTCTACACAAGAAAAACCAGTTCTTCTTTATTTTTGTTTAAAACTGCTTTTCACGTGTATGCCTACGATATTTGCATAAAATAAATGATAAATGATACAAAAATGCAATAGGGTCATTTTAGCATAACATTTCAGTAAGACATGGTCCCTAAAGTGTTCCACCATGGTGTTCATTAAACCCTATATTAGTCCCTGATGAACATGAAAATTGTATGGAAACGTCACAGAGACATTCACTGAGCCAGCCTATATAGACTAGTATTAAGAGGTTCAGAGGGCCTGTGTTAGTCTAATATTTAACACGACAATAGCATGTCGGTAAGAAATATACATGACAATATAACAGACTTAACTGATGTCGGTAAAATAGCTGGAGCTATTGTAGGAAATATATCGTTATTGCCACTTTCTGACGAATTCTGTCCTGATTATCCTATAAACAGACCAATCTCTCTCGATATGGAAGCCAGTCTGTTATGTTTTCTCTGAAAGAATAAAAACATGTATAACCAACTCGTTGTATTTTTACAAATGGACAAAAACAACAAAAACATATCAAATTGTGAAAATAATCACAATCCAAAATCAAATTCAATAAAACTAGAGTACAATATGAACAGTTCAGGATATATCATATATATAACATAGATATATCACATAATACATAAATAGTACAAATAAAGCACAGAATGAAAGTGATAACGGAAATGTCCAGTCGACAGTAATAAAAAAGTACGTTTACCGGTATTGTGTTGTTGTGGCAGTTGTGAGGAAGTATGAATACATCCGGGCTCTTTATATCGGCGTTGTCCAAAAACTCGTAGTTAAAGGCAAATGACCCATACGAAATCTTACTTAAGTCTCGCATGTTTAAGCGAACTGGGGGGCAGACTTTACCTACAATATTTAATGTAAGAAATTGTAACCAACAAGATTCTACATCATAAATGGAGGGAAGATACAAAAAAACCTTTTATAAAAGAAACGGACTGGGTCACAGGTGTCGTTCACAAAGTTCTAGTAAAGAAATGCCAGTTGGACAGGCATCGTAATTTATCAGATACCAGCCTTGTCCTACGATGTATACTTGTATATAATGACAACAGAATTGAAAAACAAAGAGTTTACACAGCATTTGTTACATTGAAGTTCAAAAGACAGCTTCGTAAAAGTAAATATTGGAGTTTTAATGTCTTGATATCGTTAATATGACGTTCTCTTTTTATATTTTTTTTTATTAATTCACTATCACGTGACATATAATGTAACATAAAATATAACTGACAACAACTTAGTTTGAATGCCACCAGCTGTAATACCCACCAACTCTAACATCCATAGATATTGCTAAATTCCCCATCGGCCCTGCATTTCTTCTCGTCCATTGGTACTGTCCTACAATTTCCTTAAACCCACCTATGCCTCCGAAATATTCTGGTAAAGCGTCAGCTACAACATGGAAATAAAATCGTTTAAACATATTGTACGTATTTGTAAAAAAAAAACGTGGTAGATGATGTTAGAATTCCATACATCACTCACTATACATACCAATCTATAATTCTAAATCTTGTAATTTAATGAAGGCTTATTTTTTAAATATTTTCTTTACTTCCATATTCAAAATTTTTCATATTAAAGAATTTCACGCTGATGACAAATGTGAATACAATACTAAAATGTAATTCCATTGAATTCGCTTTACTTACCTGCTATACCACTGACCCCAGATTTCTCCCGCATCACTCACCTGGAATACCTTCAAATTGATCCCAGAATTCCCTCTCATCACTTACCCGGTATACCTTCTCACTGACCCAATAATTCCTCCGCATCACTTACATTGTATACCTTCCCACTGACCCAAGAATTCCCTCTCATCACTTACCTGGTGTGCCTTCCAATTGACCTCAGAATTCTCCCGCACCTTCCCATTGACCCCAGAATTCTCCCGCATCACTTACCTGGTATACCTTCAAATTGACCACAGAATTCCCTCGCATCACTCACCTGGTATACCTTCCCACTGACCTTATAATTCCCCCGCACCACGTACCAGGTAAACCTTCCCACTAACCCCAGAATTCCCTCGCATCACTTACCTGGTATACCTTCCCACTGACCCCAGAAATCCCCCGCATCACTTACCTGTATACCTTCCCACTGACCTTATAATTCCCTTCCCACTGACCCGCCTTCCCACTGACCCCACCACTTACCTGGACCCTCACTTACCTACCTTCCCACTGACCCCAGAATTCTCCCGCATCACTTACCTGGTATACCTTCCCACTGACCCCAGAATTCCCTCTCATCACTTACCTGGTATACCTTCCCACTGACCCCAGAATTCCCCCGCATCACTTACCTGGTATACCTTCCCACTGACCCCAGAATTCCCCCGCATCACTAACCTGGTATACCTTCCCACTGACCCCAGAATTCTCCCGCATCACTTACCTGGTATACCTTCCCACTGACCCCAGAATTCCCTCCCATCACTTACCTGGTATACCTTCCCACTGACCCCAGAATTCCCTCCCATCACTTACCTGGTATACCTTCCATCTGACCCCAGAATTCCCCCGCATCACTAACCTGGTATACCTTCCCACTGACCCCAGAATTCCCCGCATCACTTACCTGGTATACCTTCCATCTGACCCCAGAATTCCTCCGCATCACTTACCTGGTATACCTTCCCACTGACCCCAGAATTCCCTCTCATCACTTACCTGGTATACCTTCCATCTGACCTCAGAATTCCCCCGCATCACTAACCTGGTATACCTTCCCACTGACCCCAGAATTCCCTCGCATCACTTACCTGGTATACCTTCCCACTGACCCCAGAATTCCCCGCATCACTTACCTGGTATACCTCCCACTGACCCCAGAATTCCCTCGCATCACTTACCTGGTATACCTTCCCACTGACCTTATAATTCCCTCGCATCACTTACCTGGTATACCTTCCCACTGACCCCAGAATTCCCCGCATCACTTACCTGGTATACCTTCCCACTGACCCCAGAATTCCCCGCATCACTTACCTGGTATACCTTCCCACTGACCCCAGAATTCCCCGCATCACTCACCTGGTATACCTTCCCACTGATTCCAGAAGGTACTGATTCCTTCTTCTCTCTCACAACTGTTATCAGAGTTGTCAACAGTGTAAAATGCAGGCTACTTGACAGGAAATCAGAAAGTGTGACGTGGTTAAACGGTTTGTAAACAAACTTATGTTAGAACATTTTATAAGCTATAAAGATAAGGTGAACCAATCACTTACAACTTAACTGACACAAGCACAATTAGAAGCGTCTTCTACTTTATAATTCTATATCCGTATAAAATGACATTTCGTATTATTTATTTTCTAATTCTGATGCCATAACATGCACATATACTGATACTTATAATACTTTTTATCATTTTTTTAGTACTATAACTTTGAATCATAGAATCGTTTCTTGGTACCTACCTCGTTGAACTTCCATATGAGGGTAAAGTCTACTAAAGTATTGTCAGCAAGCTCTGTTCCGGAGAAATCAAATCTCATCTGCTGGTTGGTAAAGTCATAATAAAACATCCCGGTAGCAATTATCTGATTCCGAGCCACCAACATCATATCAAAATCAAAGAACACCTTACTCTGCCATTGAGCAGGAAATTTACACTGCAAATGTTTGGGTTTTGCGTGTACAATACTTAATAAAATTAGAATGCCTGACAGCAACAAAAGGAAATTGATAATTTCCATGATTTTAGTTAAGACAAAGAGGCAGTGAATACTAAACAGAGATAGTATACTATATGCTCTGATATCGTTGTGTAAGGTAAAGCTTTCAAATGAATGTCCTGTCAATCCAAAGTGGTCATTAAATATTCAATATGTTAGGAGAAGAGGTTGTTGAACAAGGACCTGATTAGATTTCATATCGAAAATTTTATCTACATTTATCTTTGATGTGTAAAGGAGGCTACAGTCACATCAACCGTGCTATACACAGAAATAAACAAGGGTTGTTATCAGTGCGTTAATCAACCCATAGTATCATAACATTTATAACATATCACACTCACCTTCATATACAAAAGAAGAAATCCAGGCCTCTATTTATCATAATATACCTCACTGACCACCAGATACCATAGAAACTCGAGCCTCTATTTATCATAATATACCTCACTGACCACCAGATACCATAGAAACTCGAGCCTCTATTTATCATAATATACCTCACTGACCACCAGATACAATAGAAACTCGAGCCTCTATTTATCATAATATACCTCACTGACCACCAGATACAATAGAAACTCGAGCCTCTATTTATCATAGTATACCTCACTGACCACCAGATACAATAGAAACTCGGGCCTCTATTTATCATAATATATCTCACTGACCATCAGATACAATAGAAACTCGAGCCTCTATTTATCATAGTATACCTCACTGACCACCAGATACAATAGAAACTCGGGCCTCTATTTATCATAATATACCTCACTGACCACCAGATACAATAGAAACTCGGGCCTCTATTTATCATAATATACCTCACTGACCACCAGATACAATAGAAACTCGGGCCTCTATTTATCATAATATACCTCACTGACCACCAGATACAATAGAAACTCGAGCCTCTATTTATCATAGTATACCTCACTGACCACCAGATACAATAGAAACTCGGGCCTCTATTTATCATAATATACCTCACTGACCACCAGATACAATAGAAACTCGGGCCTCTATTTATCATAATATACCTCACTGACCACCAGATACAATAGAAACTCGAGCCTCTATTTATCATAGTATACCTCACTGACCACCAGATACCATAGAAACTCGGGCCTCTATTTATCATAATATACCTCACTGACCACCAGATACAATAGAAACTCGGGCCTCTATTTATCATAATATACCTCACTGACCACCAGATACAATAGAAACTCGGGCCTCTATTTATCATAATATACCTCACTGACCACCAGATACAATAGAAACTCGGGCCTCTATTTATCATAATATACCTCACTGACCACCAGATACAATAGAAACTCGGGCCTCTATTTATCATAATATACCTCACTGACCACCAGATACAATAGAAACTCGGGCCTCTATTTATCATAATATACCTCACTGACCACCAGATACAATAGAAACTCGGGCCTCTATTTATCATAATATACCTCACTGACCACCAGATACAATAGAAACTCGGGCCTCTATTTATCATAATATACCTCACTGACCACCACATACAATAGAAACTCGGGCCTCTATTTATCATAGTATACCTCACTGACCACCAGATACCATAGAAACTCGGGCCTCTATTTATCATAATATACCTCACTGACCACCAGATACCATAGAAACTCGGGCCTCTATTTATCATAATATACCTCACTGACCACCAGATACCATAGAAACTCGGGCCTCTATTTATCATAATATACCTCACTGACCACCACATACAATAGAAACTCGGTCTATTTATCATAATATACCTCACTGACCACACAGATACAATAGAAACTCGGGCCTCTATTATATCACTATATCTCGGCCTCTATTTATCATATATACCTCACTGACCACAGATACTTTTACTTGTAAACTCGGGCCTCTATTTACAATCTTATATACCTCTGACACCTTGTTGTACACATACATCGGGCCTCTATTTATCATAATATATCTCACTGACCATCAGATACAATATATATACCAGATACCACAATACTTTACCCTACCGTAAATTGTCTCGTGTTACTTCCTTTACAGTATATATCCTAAACATCAATCACAGAAATCCTGACAGAGAAACTAAGATATATTTATATCAGTAAGATATACATCTGATTCAGTACTATATTCAATACCTAAGGATGCACTTGTATAAAGAATTAGTGGCCAAAATATAAAAGTTCGCTTTTTAACTAGTAATGATTTTTTGAACAGTTGGATTTCCGAAAATATTTCAAAAGCAGAAATTCATTATGTTGGGGTGCTTGTTTTTACATTTTTTCAGATACAGGGTTCAGAATACGTGTTCCAGGATTTTTTTTAGATATATATAGGTTTTTTCCACAATAACAGTAATGCTTTGTTATTTTGAGGCAACATTCAAAAATGTAGATTTCCGCTTTCATTGAAAGGTAACGTAATGCTCCCTAGGTAATGAAAAAGAAATGAAAAACGATTGAAACGTCGCACAATGTTTCGTTCGAGGTGCTTGGAACTGAAAGAGGCTGGAAAACACTACCGGTGTAAAAAGACGTTCAGTGTGATCTTAGTACTAATTGATAACATACAAGTTAATGTAAATAGACAGTGAGAAAATAGTGTCATCCTAATGTAATACAGTATTAATGGATTTATCTCAAACACCATGAAAACTATATATACTTACACAAATCCTTTAATCTCCTTTCTGCAGACAGGGTGCTATATATTTTTGTTTGGTCAAGCGCCACCAGTTTCGGAATCCACTAGAAAGTATGTGCACCCTGCGGTGACCCAGTAATCTGACTTGTAGGTAAGTGGATCACCAAATACAAGATGTTAAGGAATTAAAGACGAATGCCATTTAATTATGGTTATATATAAAAATGTAAACATCACAATGCTTTCTAACCAGCATAACATTAACTATTTCACTGCTAATGACGTCGATAAGTTGTTAAAGAATTAAAAACAAAAGCCATTTAATTATGGTTACATATAAATATGTAAACACCACAATGCTTTCTAACCAGCATAACATTAACTACTTCACTGCTAATGACATCCATGTAAGTATCATCACACAAAACAAATCGATTTTTCATCATTTTACGTTTCTTATCGGATGTCGGTATTTCATAACAAATGTTTGCTTTATGATGCAGTTAAATTCATTTTTTAACGCCAGTCTATCTTATCTTCTGTATTAAATGGCGCTATTCTCTCATGTGTCTTTTGTCTGATGTTGAGAATCTGTATGTACATTCGTATATATCCTATCTATTACTACCAGCAACCTGGTCGTCGCAATACACTATTTTTTATTTTAAAAAGTAGCATCTTTCTGATTGGAAGTTTTACAGTATAATTTGTTTTCACTGTGATTTTGAAAATATACGGGCATATAAATGGAGAGGATTCATAGTAGATACACTTAAATATTCAAAACATCTTGTTGACCTTATGTAAAGATGTCGGTAATCTATTTTTAAAATATAAATCTGTCATCCTATATATCTGAATAGTAACTTATCACGTAACATTATCTGGTGTGAGTTTGTGGTGACTTCGTCATGGTGACTTCCCATCACTATCAGTACAAATGATATAATGTTTATGATATATGGTAAGCTCAGTGTTTTGTTACCCGTTCTGTTTTAGCTATTTGATCAGTGAAGGTATAGAAAATTGAAAACCTCCTTTATTGGAAAAAGTCAATCTTATCCAGAGTTGTCATGCCTTACACTAACGAGTCTAGACGTCAGAGTTGCCATGCCTTACACTAAATAGTCTAGAAGTCAGTCTTGCCATGCCTTACACTAACGAGGCTAGAAGTCACAGTTGTCATACCTTACACTAACGAGGCTAGAAGTCACAGTTGTCATACCTTACACTAACGAGTCTAGACGTCAGAGTTGCCATGCCTTACACTAACGAGTCTAGAAGTCAGTCTTGCCATGCCTTACACTAACGAGGCTAGAAGTCACAGTTGTCATACCTTACACTAACGAGTCTAGAAGTCAGAGTTGTCATGCCTTACACTAACGAGTCTAGAAGCCAGATTTGTCATGCCTTACACTAACGAGTCTAGACGTCAGAGTTGCCATGCCTTACACTAAATAGTCTAGAAGTCAGTCTTGCCATGCCTTACACTAACGAGGCTAGAAGTCACAGTTGTCATACCTTACACTAACGAGTCTAGAAGTCAGAGTTGTCATGCCTTACACTAACGAGTCTAGAAGTCAGTCTTGCCATGCCTTACACTAACGAGGCTAGAAGTCACAGTTGTCATACCTTACACTAACGAGTCTAGAAGTCAGAGTTGTCATGCCTTACACTAACGAGTCTAGAAGCCAGATTTGTCATACCTTACACTAACGAGTCTAGACGTCAGAGTTGCCATGCCTTACACTAAATAGTCTAGAAGTCAGTCTTGCCAGACACTAACGTTCTAGAATTCAGAGTTGTCATGCCTTACACTAACGAGTCTAGAAGTCAGTCTTGCCATACCTTACACTAACGAGTCTAGAAGCCAGATTTGTCATACCTTACACTAACGAGTCTAGAAGTCAGAGATGTCATACCTTACACTTACAAGTCTAGAGGTCAGAGTTGTCATGCCTTACACCAAATAGTCTAGAAGTCAGATTTGTCATACCTTACACTAACGAGTCTAGAAGCCAGATTTGTCATACCTTACACTAACTAGTCTAGAAGCCAGATTTGTCATACCTTACACTAACGAGTCTAGAAGCCAGATTTGTCATACCTTACACTAACCAGTCTAGAAGCCAGAGATGTCATACCTTACACTAACGAGTCTAGAAGCCAGAGATGTCATACCTTACACTAACCAGTCTAGAAGCCAGAGATGTCATACCTTACACTAACCAGTCTAGAAGCCAGAGATGTCATACCTTACCCTAACCAGTCTAGAAGCCAGAGATGTCATACCTTACCCTAACCAGTCTAGAAGCCAGAGATGTCATACCTTACCCTAACCAGTCTAG